GGGCTTGCGCCGGCGCCCCAGGTGGCTGCGCAGGCAGTGGGAGCCCTTGTGCGCGAGAACAAGTGAGCACTTGTGATGGGTGGGTCTGCAGATAGCGGGTGCTAGGAGGCGTGCATACTTCGTGCTCCCCCAACTCCCTCCCCCGCATAACTTGAGTTGGGCCCCTGTCCCCTTTGCCACAGACAGGCCTCAGGCTTTTCCGCGCTCTGGGGCTTGCTGGTGCCTGCACCCACAAACTACCTGCCTCGCCCCCATCCTTCCTGGCCTGGAGTACTCCCTCCTTCCACCCTCCTTCTCCACTGTTCCAGCTCTTCTTGGTTGCCCTTTCAGAAGCACATCACCCCTAGGTCTGGGCCCCAGGGATGCCCTGACTCTGAGAGCCTCTTCCTTTCACCTCTGCAGGGCTGGACCCCCCACAACAACACAGATGCCTCCAGGGCAGCTGGCTGGGGCTGGGCATAGAGCGAGGGTGGGGGCCCAGCTCACCTCTGCTGCTTGATTTGACATGTGGGTGTCCCTCGTGTGTCTCTGAGGCAACGGGCCACCTGGAAAGCTCTTGGATTCATGCAGAGAGATTAGGAAGCCAAGTTGGACCCCGCGTGGGCCATAGGAAGACATGTGTGTGACATGTGTGTGAGTGTGTGTGCTCCTCAGGTTGGGATCTGGCCTGTGATAGAACTAGCTTTAGCTAAAGCAGACAAAAAAAGCTGCTCTCTCAGTTCACCCCTGACCTTCTCCTTTAAACACAAGCCCAGGAATGGGCCCCCATTACCTGTCTGCCCGCCCTAGCCGGCTCCTCATACCTTTTCACACCCGCACACCACGCCCAGCCGCAAGCCTACCCGGTCCCCCACCCGCCCCGCTAGGCAAGGCTGTCCTCCAGGAGGCCTCGGTGGGAACCGGCAGATGCCAGTTCTCCAGTCTCTCTCCTTGTCCCTGGGCGGCCACTGGCCAGGAGGTGGGCTCATGGCTGTCACTCCCCCCAGACACAGAGGAGACCTTTCAGAAGGTCTCCGGAACAGCTTTCATCCAATGCGGACACCCCACCAGGCACCGCCCACCTTGGGGAAGGTGGGCCACAGCTGTCCGCTGACTGTTGGGGCTGACCCCTGGGTGTCCACCCTGGGGCCGGCCCCACGGCTGCTGGAGCTCAGCCCCGTGGAGGAGGGGAGTGCCGTCGGCGTGCGTGAGAGCGGTGGGAGCCGCGGCTCTTGCTGGGTGTTCCCTCCCGGCCCTTCCGGAAAGCACGCTGGCCGAGGTGGGGGAGGGGGAGCCCCCACCCACAGGAGGACAGAGCTGGAAGCAGGGGACAGCTTGCAGGGCAGGAACTGCCAGAGCGCGGGGGCCTGCCACTCAGGAGAGGGGACTCTCAGAGCTGCCCAGTGTCCCTGGGACTCCTGGGGCCTCAGGAGTGCTGCAGGAGGGCCTTCTCTGGTGGTGACAGCACTGCCCCGGGGTCTCAGGGTTCCTACTGGGGGCCATGGGGTTTCTGGGGGCTGCCAGCTTCCAAGGTGCCTCCCTCTTTCTCCTTCCCTGCCTGGCCTTCACCCTGAGGCCCCGGTGCCCGGACACCCCCTCTGGGCCCTGGACGCTGCGGAGCTACCTGCAGCTGGCCTGATCCTCCGAGGCCTCCCTTCGTGGAGGGCTCTTCCCGTGACGCCCACCTCTGGTCGCCGACCACCAGGGCAGCAGGCCAACGCAGAGCACTGCCCAGAGCCTCGGGAAGCTCGAGCTCAGAGTGGAGGAGAGCCCTTGCCCGCCTGCTGGAGGAGATGGCTTTGGAAGTGTAACCCGCCCAAACCCAATTCCAGGCCCGGCAGGAGGGGGCGGGGAGGGGGGGAAGGGAGGAGGGGCTGAGCCGGGAGGAGGCTTTGAGAAGGAATGCTTTGCTCAGGAGCCCCCCCAGGGCCCCACAGGGACTCAGCTCTCCGCCTGGTGACGTCACGTTGGCCTGAGCACTGCAGCCCGGGTCCGGCTGTTAATCCAGCTCCACAGGGCTGCCCGCTGTCCCGGGAGAGGGAGCGCCAGGCTGTCCGCTTGCCTGGTGCCTTCCTTTGGCCCCCACTGTGCATTTCGGGGCTTGCAGGTCCCCACCGGTGGTTTAAATGTACCGAGGGGCTGATGCTGAGATGCCAGGAAGCAGCGGGATGAGGGCTTCACGGAAGGGGTGGTGCAGGGACCTTTGAGAGGTGGTGTGGGCAGCAGGACAGTGATGCCACCCAGGTGGCACCCCACTCCCCCTTCCATCCCGGAATCTGCCCAGGGCCCCCTGTGGGCTTATGGAGCCAGGAATTCCCTTTTCCCCAGCCCTAATAGCAATCAGATGGCGCAAGTGGAAAATCACAGTGCTCGCCTGGACTGAGCAGGGAAATTGGCGGGCTGTGGTGCCTGGTGCATGCGCTGCTCAGCGGGAGGATGAGTCAGCCTCCCCCTCTTCCCTTGCGAGCCCCCCGCGGGGTCCTGGGGCATCGAGCCAAAGCCTGAGGGGTGCAGGGGCCAGAGGGATGGCCATGAGGGCGGGGTGGGGGTGAGGAGTGGATTCCCAGGGAGCCACCAGGGAAGGTCCCGCTGCCCTGGGCCAACTTTCTCATGGCCCAGGGAGCCTGAGGGAATTCTGATGAGTGCTTTCTCTGCTGGAGCACACGGTGCCCAGATTGGAGGCAGGGGGTGCCTCTGTGGGCACCTTAAAGAGGACCCAGAAATTGAACTTTTCCTGCACCTGCCATGGAGCTGCAGGACCCCTGCGCCCAGCTGGAGGAGCCCGATGTCCCCACGCAAGTGTGAACCTCAGATGGGCTCGGATCGCAGGGCTCCCTGCAGGGTCCAGCTGACCTCCAGGGGCATTTGTGTTTCGGGAGGGGTGAAGAGGGGCTTGAGGATACCGAATGGCCCAGGCATGGCCACGCCCAAGCCTGAGAGCGAGGGGCTGGGCAGGCGGCAGGCAGCGCCTGGTGGCCCTCCCTCCTCTCCCAGGCAGGCCAGCTGGGGCCCAGCTGGGCTGCTTGTTTATGTGCGGAGGCTGGAGGCCGGTGGGGTGGGGGGTGGGGGGAGCCAATCCCTGCAAGTTCCAAGTGCAATTCCATTTGAACTCTTAAAAGGAATTGTGTGAAGTGGGCAGCGGCTCTGAAGTCCACCGCCTTATTTGGTCTGGAAATCTGTTTCTTTCAAAACTAATGAGAGGTGCTTGTAAATGAGAAAGCCACTCTGTGCATGGGTTTGCCATGTCCCATTGCCACCTAGAATCCTCGGGGCTCCTGCAGGGACAGTGGGGAGACCCCCAGCCACACGTGGGGCCCCTGTGGCTGCCTCAAATCTTGGGTGACCCTAGGCCTTGGTTCCTCAACTGTCAGGTGGGAAAAAGAATGACTCATGGAGTTGCCGTGAGGAAGGAATCAGGTCCCGGGCAGAAAAGCTCTCTGTGACCCCGGAAGCGCTGTCATTCATCCCCTCCCTCCCTCAGCGAGGCTTAGGGCTACTTCCAGTGGCCAGCCCAGTGCTGGCCATGTGGCGACCGAGACGCTGTCCCTGCCCTGGAGATTCTCATGTTCTGTCCTCTTGCTCTGAACAGCCACCACCCAGCCATCAGGCGCCATCCTCCACCCCTCCAGTAGAAGGGAACTTTATTCTTCATGGTCTCCTGTCATGGGCCTCACAGGTGGACTCTGTGGTCCACCCCACGCGTCCTACAAGGGTGCAGGCCTGGGCTCTCCTCTGCTGGGGGGTCCCTGGGGGCAGGAGGAGTGTGCCGGGCCCTTCCGTGGCCCCTTGTTGCCGAGCTGCTTGCTAGGTAGTGGGTTGGTCCCTCCGAGCCAGGAGGGAGAGCTCACAGCCTCCCAGGCATCACCGCACACACTGTGGATGGTCACTGAGCACCGGCCAGGTGCCGGGCACTGTGCTCCGGGCTGATGAACCGACAGACGAGGTCTCTGCCCTCAGGAAGATGGGAGGCAAGGCTGGAATCAGATGACCCGGACACATGTAAAACTGCATCTGAACAGAAGGCACCGGACCAGGCAGTTCAGGGAGATCAGGACGGCTTCTTGGAGGAGGTGATGAGGGAGCCCATGGGGAAAGTTGGGCAGGAGTGACTCAGGTGAGAAGAGGAAGAAAGTCATCCCCAGCAGAGGAAACTGCATGAGCAAAGGCCCTGAGGCAGGCGGCTGGCTGCACGGGCAAATGAGGGGCTGGATGAGGCTGAGGGGATGCAGAGCTGGGCAGCTCTGAATAGCTCCTCTGGGCCCAGGATCTCACCCTCCTTGTCCTGGTCTCACCTCTCTGATGCATCTTGTCCCTCTCCTCTGGGGGCCAGTGCAGTGATGATCATAAGAACTACAGCTACCTCTAGCTGCGTCCTCTGAGCCAGGGCCTGCAGCCTGGACACATCTCCGAGCCTTCTCGTACCGCCTGCCCACACCTGGCAGCCTCACAGGTAAGCCAGTCGGAGGAGCACACCTCAGGGAGTAAACGTTGAGTCCACAATCTAAAGAGGTGTCGTGGTGGCCTCCCAGGAGCTGGCTGGTCTGACAACTTGTGCTTCCTTTTGGCGGGGCTCTCTCAATATGCCCCAGGTCACTGTGTCTCTAGAAATTTCACTGCATTTTGTGGGGATCACCTCCTACTGGCTGACACGTGTGAGTCAAGATTTCTAGAGCGTTTGTGCGTCTGGCTGGTCGGGGCCCACCTGCGTGATGTCGTCAGTGCAGTGGGTCAGTAGGTTGTCCTGTGCACTAGCTCCAGAGTTGTTTTTCTTACTCCAATCAAGTAAGATCCCAGGATGCTGCTCATTGATTAGAATGAACCCTGTTTCATGGTCGTTCAGGTCAACAATGGTCGCCTATCAGCAATTTCATACGGTCAAACCAAGCATTTCAGTCCCAGGCACTTCGTGATCCATGAGCCGTGGCCAAGGACCTCTGCGGGTCACGTTACTCTGATTATTACGTTTCCATCATGGTAGCTACACCCTTCCCTTCTCCTCGGCCCTGCTGCACTGGGAGGCCTTCATCCTCATTGAATTCAGGAAGTTCATTTCAATGGCAGCGTCTCCCAAAGCCACTCCCAGTCCACAGAGAACAGCCACATGCTCGGTTCCTCTTCTCAATGTATTTCTCAAAGCTTTGGTGAAGGGCCCTTCCGGGGGCGTGGACAGGGGCGTGGGCGAGCAGGCTGTGTGTAATGAATGCACTCCACAGTCCCGTTTCCCCAGGGCTTTGGGGACTTTCTCTACAGCGGTGGTTCTCAACCGGGAAGGATTTTGCCTCCCGCCTCCACCCGACATGGGGACGCTTAGCAATGTTTGGAGAACTTTCGGTTGTTACAACCGGGAGGGGTGTGCTATTAGCACCTCATGGACCAGGGATGCTGCTAAGCCCCACAATAACCCCTGCAACAAAGAGTCGTCTGGCCCCAAATACCAATAGTGCCGAAGTTGAAAAACCGTTCTCTATAGCACATCCGGGAAGTCCCGGAACCTCACCTCCGTTTAAGATGGGCCACCACTGAATGTGAGTTGGTGCAGCCACTGTGGAAAACAGCATGGAGGTTTCTCAAAAAATGAAAACCAGAGCTACCCTATGTCCTGGCAATTCCACTCTTGGGTATATACTGGGAAAAAAAAATCCCACTAATTTGAAAAGATACACGCACCCCAATGTTCACAGCAGCGTTACTTACATTTGCCGAGGTACGGAAGCAACGTGAGTGTCCACCAACAGGTAAAGAAGCTGTGGTCTCTATAAACAGTGCAATCCTACTCGTCTGTGAAAAAGGACATTTCGCCACTTGCAGCAACATGGATGGACTCAGCATGGAATCCAAAAAATACAACCAACTAGAGAATAAGACAAGAAAGAACCAGGCTCACAGGCAGAGAACAAACGAGTGGTTCCCAGGGTAGAGAGGGGTGGGGGGAGGCTATTATAGGATGATGTGAAGTCATGTGTGTGAAACTTTGGAAATTGTAAAGCGCTATAGAATTGAAAGAAAATTCCACTCAATTAAAAAAAAAGTTAAATTTTGACTTAAAAAAAAAGGGCTACCACTGGGTCCAGATTTCAGTCAATGAAACGAGCATTCTGTTAAGAGCCTCTCCCAGCTCTGGGTTAACACACTGAGTCTAGGACAGGTGCGGGCGCCCACATCAAAGTGAAGCTGACCCAGTATTGCATTCCTTCCACCCGGTGTAACACCCGCAGGGCCTTGCGCACATGGAGTCCCGGCTTTCTGCCACTGCAAGCCGGAGATGCCTGTTAGATCTTTTGCTGTGTACAGTGCATCTTCCTGGGTTAGATTTTATAACCCCTGCCCCTGCGGTTTGAGTTTAGATCCAGAAGCAAGAGGAGTACTGGCCCCTTGAGGAAGCGTCTCTCTTACGAGTGATCATCCCAGCTCCTTCAAGCTGACCCCTCAGAGTGGGGCCCGCGGGCGGCTTCTCCAGGCAGGAGAGTTCTGTGGAATTTGGAGGTTCAGCCGCCTGGCAGTCTTTCCAGATAGGTTCTGTTCCAATGTTCAGGGTTCCCCTCTTTCCCAATCGATGTCCCAACTTCAACCGAGGGAACCCGTGTGGCCACGAGTTCAAATGGCTGTGCTGACCCCCAGGGTCAGAGTTGGGCTTTGATTTCTAAAACGTCAGCTCGGTGGCTACAGGAGATGTGGGCTTCGGAAGGGCAGTAATGAAGGTTTTCTGGTGCTTCAGCAACTTTGTCACAGGATCAGGGGCCCAGACTGCCCCCAGCACTGTGTG